GGTGGGTAGTGTGTTGGCCCACACATGGAAGGGTCTTGGGTTTAATTCCTGGTCAAGGGCGCTTAACTGGGTTGCAGGTTCAATCCCCGGGCCCGGTTGGGGTGCGTGTGGGAGGCAACCAGTCCATGTGTCTTTCACATGGATGTTTCTCTCTGTCTCTCCCCCTCCCTTCCACTCTCTCCAAAAGTCAATGGAAAAATATCCTCGCCCTAGCTGGTCTGGCTCACTGGATGGAGCATCGGCCTGCGGACTGAAGGGTCCCAGGTTCGATTCCGGTCAAGGGCATGTACCTTGGTTGCAGGCACATCCCCAGTGGGGGGTGTGCAGGAGGCAGCTGATCGATGCTTCTCTCTCATTGATGTTTCTAACTCTCTATCCCTCTCCCTTCCTCTCTGTAAAAAATCAATAAAATATAAAAAAAAGAAAAATATCCTCGGGTGAGGATTAACAACAAAAATCAATGTATTAACAAAAAAATAATGGGTTGGGCGAGGCTCTCATCAAAGGCTGTTAAAGGGGGCACACTCACTAAGCACATATTCCTTTATTTTGACCTTTGCCACCTTTTTTGTCTCCTGTCCAAAACTGACCTTACTTTCTGCTTAGAATATAGATCTCCTACACCTGGAATTGGAGTTACCATCTTGCAGACATGAAGACCCAAGTCAGATTCTAACTATGGTGGATGAGAAAGAGAGGCTATTCCTACCTAAACTGCCTACTTCTATACTTGGTTATATGAATAATAAACACCTTACTTGTGTTAGCTACTGTCTGTGACGTTCCTATTATGTGTTGCCAAAATAAATGTCTTAGAATTCTTTTGAAAAAGAATGGGTAAACTGTGAAGCATCTAGACAATGGAATGATCCAGCATTAAAAAGAAATGAGCTATAGAGCCAGGAAAAGACATGGAGGACATTTAAATGCATATCAGTAAGTAAAAGAAGACCATCTGAAAAGGCTACATACTATATGATTCCAACTATGTGAAATTCTGGAAAAGGCAAAAATATGGAGACAAAAAGATCAGTGGTTTTCAGGGTTTAGTAGGGGAGAGAGGGATGAATAAAGTGGAGTCCGGGGGGCAGTGAAACTATTCTGTGTGATACTATGATGGTGGGTATGTGTCATACATTTATCAAAACCCACAGAACGTACAACACCAAGGTGAACTAACAAACATGGACGATAGGTTCATTAACTGTACCACGTTGGTAGAAGAGGTGGGGGAGGCTGTGCATGTGTGGGGGCAGGGGTTATATGGAAGATCTCTTGTACTTTCTGCTCAATGTCACAGTGAGCCTGAAAGTGCTCTAAAAATTGTGTCCATTAAAAAACAAGAATGAACTAAAATTTAAGAAAATGTGAGCCAAATTAAGAGCCTAGTCAAGATTTTAAGGAGATGCTTCTAGATTAAGTCTAAAAGTTTCTAAGACCTCAATACCTGTAGAAAAGTAATTCATATGCCACTTAAATCTGTGATCTTTTTAGAAGAGAAGCCCATTGGGACCTCTACTTGATAATCTTTTCTGAGCAGTTACATATACAGACCATTCCAGTTTTTGTCTTTTGTGTGTGCGCGCGCGCGTGCGTGTGAAAATAATTTAGATAGAGGGCCTGCTACCAGAGGGAGATAAAATTATAGTTTAATTTAAACTAATGTTTGATAGACGGAGGAACCTAGCAAGGCCTTTCTTTCTTAATCCTCATGAGGATATGGTTTTTTATTTTGGGGGAGGAGAATGGGAGAGGGAGAGAGAAATATCAATGTGCGAGAGAAACATCTATTGTTTGCCTCCTGTACACACAGGAGGCAATTGGAGATCAGACTCACAACCTAGGCATATGTCCTGACTGGGAATCAAACCTGTAACCTTGAGTATGCCATATAAGCCAGGTCCCTTGAAACATACGCTGTGCAGATGTTTCTTCCCTGCAGCGACTGTGTCAAGCATCAAGGGTGGACCGGCTTCCGGCATGTGTGTAGATTTATTTTCTTTTACATGGATGTCCAGTTGTTTCAGCATCATTTATTGAGAAGAATATCTTTGGTTCATTGCATTGCCTTTTCTGTTCTGTCAAAGATCAATTGGCTATATTTATGGGGGTCTATTTCTGGACTCTATTCCATTGGTCTACTTGTCTATTCCCTTGCCAATATCACACTATCTTTATTGCTCTAGTTTTATAGTAAGTATTAAAGTTGAATAGTGTCTGTTTAAAAAAAAAAACACAAAAAAAAACCTGTAACCTTCTGGTGTATGGGATGAATGATTCTTTAACCAACTGAGCCACGTTGCTAGAGCTAGGCTATTCCTGTTTTGATGTGTCTAGCCCTGTAACTTAAGTATGGCACAGTCACAGCGCACTTACGTGTCTAAATGATTCTTCAGCAAGTCGTACACCAACACATTGTTACACTGCTTTGCAAAATACATTGCGCTAGTTTGGTGCTTTGACAAAATATTGCAGTCAGCTCCACATTCAATTACAAGTCGTACAATATCCAAATTTCCTCTTTTACAGGCCTAAGTCCCAAAAAAAAAAGGAGCAATAATTAACTAAAGTTAACTACCAGTCAGTGTTTGTCCCTTTCTTCACACTTGAGACAGCCTGGGAGCTCTTTGTGAAGAGAGGGAAAGAAGGTTGGAAAAAACCTGGAGTTGGGTCTCCCTGGGTATTAGAAACGTTTACATAAACAGGAGGGGTCCAGTACAGAAATCTGTGCTACATTCAAAACGATACCTCTATCCCAACCCAGAAGAAACACCAGGCCTTTTTAAGCTCCACTCTCCATCCATGTCCTGTTGTCTTATTAGGAAAGCCCTGGGAATCTAAAGTGCCTCTTAGCATCACAAAATCTCAGAATTTTCCTAGTATCTGCTCTGAGGAGACTAACAAGCATGGATACATGTCTAAATTTAAATCCAGAATGGCCCTGAGACACACTTTAAAGACCACTCTAGAGTATCTGTTTAGAACCCACTTGGTGATTTCTCAGTAAGATAGTTTTAATTCATTCTTTGAATGCTACCTCTGCTTTAAACATTGGACAATTTACAAACATAATGGAAAACAAATTCAAAAGTAGGGGTCCTGAACAAAATATTTCCACGAGCCACCAATGAAATGGAAACACAAACAGTGAGCCTGGTTTAAACACTAAGTGTAAAACCCTAAGGCTGAAGCAGCAGGCGGGCCAGGCCTTTAGAATAACGAATTAGAAAGCAGATTCAGGCAGCCCACTGTGAACCTGGCTGTGGCCATGCTTGTTTACTGACTCATGAAAGAAGGCTGAAAACAGACTGCAGACAAACGCCAATAGCTCATAAACTGTGTCTAAGGACAGGGCAGCAGCACAGCCTCCACTTGGGGAACTAAACCACTACTAGGTGTTAAAAACTGCTGTATCCTAATAGCATTGTACGCCAGGAACCCAGAACTTCCCCAGGAACAGACTAGAACATGCAGAACTTGCCCCCATAGATGCAAATGCAAAACCACTAACCATGGAGGGGTAATACAGGAGTGCACGGGGGCGGCTTTAACAACCTTCCACTTAAAACTATCTGCAAACCACAATTCCTAATACACAACGGGTGAAGCGAATTCACCAATAAAAACTAGATTATAGCCTCCACTTCTCCACTCCTTGGGCTCTGTGCATAGCCCACTCCAGTTCCCATTTGCACAGTTCATCCCTGTTCACAGCCACAGTGAGGCCACCTGTCAAAGCAACCCTAAGGCTGCCTGGGAGCCACAGGACTGAACCTTGTCTGGACTCTGATGTAATCCCTTAGCTCCATGCTTACTCCTCTCGCATTACTCATCACACTACATGTTAAGTGCTTCTCTGATGCTACTTTTCCCATTCACCTATCATGTGCAAGTCCAGAGATTATCTTGTTCCCCATCAAATCCCCAGGCCCCAGCTGTCGGAGACCCCAACATACACATCTGAAGCATGGAGGGGATGAGCAATCATGTGAGGCATTTACCTTCATTAAAGCAGTCTCACCACTGCTCTGCTGGACATTTACAAAAGCTCCTGCTTCCAAAAGAATAGCCACTGTAGTTAAAAAGTTCTATTAAAGAAAAGAAAACAAATTTAATTCTTCAAATTCTTATATTCAAAAGTAAGATATTTTTGGATGTTTTGAAACTTTTAGCCACCAGGAAAAAGACAATCTATCCCAAGCAGGTAGGTGAAATTTCCTGGTTCTTTACTATGCAGGGTCTTGTGAGAACCAGAGGTGCTGGGTGGGTTCAGTCCCCTGCCCAGCCACACTCTGTTTTGCCAGCAAGTTCAATCTGAGGGTTAACCACTGCTTTCTACATAAGACCCTCTGCATAGCAATCCTTTAGATCAGTGGTTCTCAACCTTCTGGCCCTTTAAATACAGTTCCTCATGTTGTGACCCAACCATAAAATTATTTTCATTGCTACTTCATAACTGTAATGTTGCTACTGTTATGAATCGTAATGTAAATATCTGATATGCAAGATGGTCTTAGGTGACCCCTGTGAAAGGGTCATTCGACCGCGAAAGGGGTCGCGACCCACAGGTTGAGAACCGCTGCTTTAGATAGATAATATATGGGAACATTTTAATTATTTTCAATTGGAAATGATTTTTCAATCAAGACCCTATTGATTGAAACTAATTTTAGTACCTTAATCGGAGGTCCTGTTGGATATAAATCCCTTCCAACTAGATAATCATTTTGAAAATTCAACTGCAAAGTATTATTGTTGATTTAAAAGAAAGCATCCATTCATGATAAGTCATAGATAAACTGAAATATAAAATTAAGTTGACTGTATGACTGTTATATTTCACTACAGAAACAGATTTTGTCTTAGTCCAGAAGCAGGAATTCCTGTAAGACTATGAAATGGCTGCACTGTGAGTGACCAACCTTTTCAGCTGCATGAATGAGTGCGGTGGTCCCATTCTTCTGTCTGCCATTCACTTTGGCTCCCTTTCTGATGAGAAGCCTCAGTAGATCGTCCTGACCTCCAGCTGCAGCAAGCATCACTAGTGTCATCCCACTTGAATCCTTCATTAGTTTTGTGTAAGGAAAAAATGTCAATGTTTAATCATAAAAATTGTATAACTAAGTTCATCTAGACTGTTTCAACGTGAAATTATTAAAGTACATTGATTTAAGCATCTACTTAATTTTTTTCACTAAAATATCCTAAAAATAAAAAACTAATAACCTTTGGAATTTTATATATATAAATGTTACTATGGGAACCTTAATCAGAGTACACTGGATGTTCAAGGCCAATCTAAGCAAGGACATAGCAATCTTACTGTATGCACTGAGCAGGTGTGCCTTTCTGAGGCCCAAATATTGATGTCACTATTTCGCAAGAAGCCTCTTTTGTCCAAGTTGGTATAAAGATGTATTACTAACCAGGTGGTACAAGGCTGTTTTTATGTAAAGGCTGCTTTTATGTAGAGCTGGGCTGCTGTGTGTGCAATGGCTCCTATGTTTGCTTAGGTTGTTTTGTGCAGCTACTGATTAGTAACTTACTTTGAAGAACTGCTTTGTCTAATGGCTACTTAGCAGCAATGGCTACTTGGTCTAAAATAAAGACTCTCTCTTATGCGCCTTCGACTTCTCATGTCTTCTCCGTCTAATACTCGGCGTCCATGAAGGTCCAGTTCTTGGCAGAGAAGGACCTGTGCTCCCAGTTAGCATAGTCAAGCAGGATCAAAGAGTAAGTACTCCAACAGTTATAAAATTTTACAACTTCGATGTATTATGTTCTAAAGGCACATCAATACATTGCACAAATCTTGAAGCTATCTAGATGGCAAAGGTATTTATCTCAAATTTCAGGTCTAAAAGTTTCCTTGTGTTCTAGGCAAAACTCATACATTGATTATATTCATTTAGTTGGCCCAAAGATGTAAGGTTAGAAATGACCGCTGGTCACCTAAGCCCAGTGTATTGAGGACACAATGAAATGAATGTAATTTGGGTTAAAAAACCATTGCTAACTGCTTGGAAATAAGAGTTTGACTGCTCTAAGGATAAAAAAGATTCATAAGTAAGGAACAACACTGATATGAAAAAAGTGAGTAAAACAACTGCTTTGAATAAGATAAAATTACGTAAAGTTGGTGAATAATAAAAAGGTAACTATTAGCTAAAATTATTTCCAATTGCTAGTTAAAACGAACACCAGATGAGAAAACCAAACCATTAATTACCATCTGATACAACCAAATTCCAATAGTATGAATTAATTTGGTTATAATCTGAAAGTTTTAGCAGAATTTGCCAGTATGAGTAATCTGAGGGAACACTAATGTAAGAAAAATTATTTCTAGCAATAGCACTTTCTCTAGATTTGTAAAAATCTAACTTTAGAAAGTTCCCTGCATGCATCTCACAAAGACTGGGTGAGTTGGAGAGTAGGGGCCATAGTCAGGGTGATGGGAGGAGGAGGAGGAGGCAGTGGCAGCAAATAAATGGCTCTGAAGCAGGACCAAGTCTGAATTTCAGGAGGGTTAGTGAGTGCTGTGCTTTCATAGGCCTCCCCTTTTTTTTTTAAATCCTCACCCAAGGATATATTTAGGGAGGGAGGGAGGGAGAAAGAGGGGTGGAGGGAGAGAGCGAGAGAACGCTCGGAATGAGGACTGAACCCACAACCTAGGTATGTGCTGTGACCAGGAATTGAACACTCCACTTTTTGGTGCAACCAACTGAACCACCCAGCCAGGGCAACAAAGCTGCTTTTGAATGCTGGCGGTTCTATTCCTTTGACACTACTCACTTTTATAATACGTTTCTGTTATATGACAAAGTGCTCTAATTCCTAATGCAAAAGGTTGAATTTAGTACTATAACTGAAGATACTCATCCACTTGTGGTTTTTTTTAAACTGGTGCTTAAAGAATCCAACCTTTGCAAATCATCTATATTGTTCCTTAGGCATTTTATCTTTGCTCAGATTGTTGAAAAGTGGTGGCTTGTTTTGTGACTAATGCACGTTTTACCTTGACAGATGCAATGCACTGTGTAGCTACAATTTTCTGGAAAAGTAAATCTTTTAGGAATTGTTATTCAAATCTTCAAAGAAAACATCTGATAAAACCCAACATGCATCCCCGATACTTAAGCAGCTTAAAAAAAAAGAAAGGCAGCGTATAGGAGGTAAACCACCAACAAGACAGAAATCAAACCTGATGCCATGACCCTGAGGGAAAATCCTACTCAGACCAAAAACAGAACAGATCACTTCTATCACCACTGTTGTTCAGATATCACCAATTTCACAAGACCAAAGAAAGAAATATTGAAAATAAGGGAAACAAAATAGTTATTTTTAGCAAGTGGTCAAACTCTCTATCTAGAAAGTAACTTTAAAATTACCACAGTAAGAGAATTTTCTAAAGTGGCTGGAGACACAAACACAAACAGAAATCAATAGCTTTATCACAGTTAGAAAAGAAAATGTAGGAGAAAAAAGATCTCATAATCATAGCAAGATAATTACAAAATTATAACATATTTAGAAATTGATCTGAAATAAATAACAACTATGAAGAAAAAAATTCTTTTGCTTAAGGAATTAAAATGAAGAGCTGAATGTAGTTATGTTCCTAAATGGAAGACTGAAAATGTAATCATGTTAATTCTCAGCCAAATTGATCTACATATTTCATGCAATTTTAATCAAAATAATTTTTTGAAGTGTAACCTCAAATGATTAAACTTAAAGATCCACAACTATAAGCAAGAAAATGAAAGAAGAAAATATATAAGTCTTCTCTAAGCAAGACAAAGACATCCAAAAGCCATAAAGGAAAAGATCAACAGATGTAACTACCTAAAAATATAAGCCCTCTACCCTGGCCAGGTGGCTCGGTTGGACCTTCGTCCTGGACACCATAAGCTGGTGGGTTCAATTCCTGATCAGGGCACATACCCAGGATGCCAGTTCAATTCCCATTCTAGGTGCGTGCTGGAGGCAACTGACCAATGTTTCTCTCTGTCTCGAAGAAAGACATTCTCAGGTGAGAAAATAAAAATAAACAGAAACCTTCCAAGCAATAAACAAAAACAAAAAACCAACAAAGCTAAAAACCAGGAAAAAAAGGGTTACTATGCTTCCATATTTAAAAAAACACACAAAACATTCAATATTATCCCATTTTTGGGGGGGGAGGCAACCAAATTTTTGGTGGCCTTGTTTCAACAAGGCTGGAAAAAAAATTCATAAATCAGTATAAAACCCACGGCAACAATAGGAAGTCGGGCAGTTGCTGTTAATAGACAGCTCTCAATGAAACACAGTGACATGAAACACCACCCCTAATAGCAGCAGAGGTCAAACCATTGACAAAATCAGAAGGATCACAGCTGAACCAAATGGTCACTTTAGGGGTGGGAATACAGGGACTAAAATTTCCTACATTCTGTAATTTTTGAATTTTATAAAATGAAAATGCAATACTTTTGTAGCTAAATAAAAAAGAAAACAATTATTTTAAAAGCTAATTTACATATTCCTTTCATGAGATTTTACAAAGATATATTTACTACCTCTTGGTCCAGGTTATATTCTTCATTTGAATTAAGTGCAACCTTCACAGTAATATAATCCCCATTTTTCACAGCATCTCTCAATAAATCTAAAATGAAAGAAACGATATTAGGTTTCTGTATCTAGATTTATGAAAAGGATCCTCATAACTCCCACACTACTCACTACTTGGAATGGCATCTGTTACAGAAAAGTTCTCATCTTCCCCATCAAGATGCTTTTGAAAATCTTCTAGTTTCATCCATTCCAGCTGCAGGTCCATGCCCAGACTCAAAATCTGCTGTCTGCCATCTGGAACACAGAAGGGCTTTAAAATACTTTTTTCTGTACTGACTTAACCAAAACTTTATATACACCTTTAACATATGTCATTATGTAACTGAGTCTTCAATGAAATTTCTGATTTTCTTTGGCGAGTAAACATAAACTACTCATATTTAGAAGTTACAGTGCTTCAAAAGCTTAAAGGTAAATTGGTAAACTATTAATTATAAAATAGTAAAATATGAATTGTAAGTATAAGATTAAGTAGCTCAAAGGAAGAGAGAAACTAGAGTAAGAGGAACTGCTAACATTTCTTTCTTTGGCCATTCTTCTTGTACATTGCTTTCAATCATTGGAAATGTGTAAATCAGACATGTGTGTAAATAACAGTAAATGCCCTTTGATCCTTCCAGACTCAGATCACACTTTTCCTCCTGAAAGCCCTCTCTACTGAGTGTACTCCAGGCCCCACCACCACCATTAAGCAAATGCTGGTCTCAGCTGTCTGATCCCTGGACTCAGTGAGTCTTAAGCATAACTCATTTGGGAGAAATTAAAAATGACTGAAAAGCACAAATAGTTAAAGGATTTTACCTAAAACCAATTCCTCAAATGACACAGATGTTAGGCAGTTAACCTTGCCATAGAAATGGAATTTGTAAAAGCAATGCAAATACACTTCTCCCAAAGCTCTCAACTGGAACCAGCACTGAGCATGGAGACATGACAGCACAGCCTCGAGTGACACACCTAGATCTGTACTCCAGCTACCTGTTAGCTGTGTGACTTTAAGTCACAGAACTCACTGCACCTCCCTCTCTGAATAGAAAAAGCAGCTAACACTCCATAAGGATTATGTAATTATTTCTGTGAATTAATGCATTTAGACTATAATGACCTGTGAGGTCACCGTCGAGGAAAGCGAGCCACCTCCTCCCAAAACTGTGGGAAACCACAAACCACAGGAAGCACTGAGGAGGCCATACAAATGAGAGGCCATATAAATGGAGACAAGGCCATCTAATTTACAGGATTGTTAAGTAACAGAACACAGAGCTCCAAATCAAGAGCTCTCTTCCCCATGAATCTATCTGGTTTTTAAATCTGCAAGGACCTGATTCTGAGGTGTCTGAACATGCCCAGGTAAGTGCTGTTATCTCCTGCTATAGTTTTATACAGCAGCCTCAACAGAACATGGGGCGATTACTGCTGATGCCTGATACATGGTCTAGTTGGGCAACCTGTCCAGTGGGGTTACAGCTGTTATTCAACCCAACACAACACTGTCTGTATGGAAACAAAGAGAGCCTGCAGCAGCCAGTGGGCTGAACTCAGTAGCTTGGCCGATGATCAGTCAAGAGCCCTGGCCATTAATACTTTGCACTAATAGGTGGGCTATTCTAAAGGGGTTGACCCTACGGCTCAGACAGTGTGAAGCCACAGGTGGACGATCATGAGTGAGCTTTTGTGGGGTCAGGACATGTGGAAAGACATTTGAATCCACCTGCAAGAGCCTAAGGCTCCTCACTTTTCCACATCCCAACATGAGGCACTGACACCCGCTGGCAATCAGGAAAGTGAGGCCCTAACAGCTGACCCTTCAGTGGATGCAGCAGATAGGTACACAGGAGTGGCCACCACAGCGCCTGGGTGGGATGGGAGTATCGCTCCAGAAATAGTGACTTGTTAATGCAGTGACAGTATTAAACAATTCATAGGGCAACTGCCACAGGAGTTGGGGGCCACACATTCATTGTATCAGCCCCTCCCTCCAAGTGGGGCAAACTAAAGCTATTCTCTGTTGCTATGCAAACCAGGCTGCCACTACTAGAGGATTAGAGAAGTTGAGAAGACAGTGATGGGGTCACGTTTTAGAGATCACAGTGTGCTAGACTGGGCAAAAGAACATGACACTGACTGGAGGCCCATCCCCCTTATGACCTGCAGGCAATAGGGCTGGTAGAAAGGAATGAGTAGTAAAGCCACAGATTACGTTACTACCAGGTAAACCGCCTTACCAAGGTGGGCTAAAGTACTATCTCAGGCTTCCATACAGTTGAATGATCAGCCAGTAGGGCCCATTGTCCATATGACAGACTAGGGACCCCTGTTGAGGTACCTAATGCCATAAAGCAGGGGTGGGGAACGCCTGCCTGGCCCCGGCCCACAAAATCATTTGGTCTGGCCCTGCCAAGGGATTAGGGGTGAGTTAATTAAATGTTTGACCAAATACAGCAGGCTAATTTTTCTAAGTTAATAATTTTGTATGGCTGGCAAATGATGTTATAAATATCCCAATAGCCCTTGGCAGAAAAAAGGTTCCCCACTCATGCCATAAAGGAACATAAGTCACAAGAGACAGTCATTGCCCTGACTCGAATTGTGGACCAAAGTGCTGTGCTGCTAAGAACATGAAGCCCCCCCCCACACCTGGGAGAGGCATCCATCATCTATAGGAATTTGCAATGAGATGTCCCACCGGGATGAGGGTGACTTGGCATTCCAGGTGAGGGGAACTACACTGGGACCCTGCTGTTCTGCCAGATGACCCGTGGAAAAGCACCTGGAAAGAAACATGCACCACAGAGAGGCGATGAGCTGGGGGTCCCTGTCTGGCATGTTCTACTCCCAGCAGTCCATCTCCTCACCCTGTGTGCTCCAGCTGACATGGATGGTATACATGTCCTGGTCAAGTTCCTAAAGTTGCCAACCCCCCTCTCCTCAAGGCCAGAT